TGTGACTGCCTACTGCTGGCAGCACAGCACTGGGCACAGGCCACCAGAAAGCTGTGCCACTTGGTCTGGCTGGGAAACAACGCAGGAGCTACCCACAGTCACTGATCCCCCTAATTCACGGAGGACTTAGGGGTGTTTTTTGTTCAGCTCTGATAAAAACAATGCAGCACGTAAGCCTCTTTGAGTCATCCTTTGCTATAAGATCAGCCGTAAACAGCTGATTTCTGCGAGGCAGACGTATTTATAGGATCGGGACAGAATATAGATTTTAAAATACCACTTTTCTGTTTCAAAGTGACTGACTTGAATTTTCAATCCGTATAAAATTAATTCAGCTAGTAAATGAGAATGGCTACAGAGTAAAATGAATTAAAGTTTCAGAAAATCATTAAGATTGATGTGGCTGCACGATCCGATTGGGCAGTGGGTTGTCACCTGGTGAACGCTGTTATCTAACTGTACTTGCATCCAGGTGCTGTGAGGACTTGTGGGCCATGATGTGTTGCCAGGCAAGGGCAGGAACAGCTTTGCTTCAGAGGAGCTTCTTGCTGAGAATTTGCAGAGCAGTGCTGTTTAGGAAGGAGCCACAGCCTGTGTAGCAGTGGGGAGGACACGGAGCTTCAGGGTTCTGCTCTCCATCTTGCCTCTGACTTGCACAATGCTCTCGTGCATCAGCCACTGAGGGCTCATAGTATGATGACTGCAGGGCTGTGTGATTCCCAAAGGCTGAAATGAGTAAGGAAAGCCAATTGGTGCTGGGGCACAAAATGCCTTTGCCTTCTCCCTGCTGTGGATGCAATGAGAACTCATCAGGGGTACAGTCCTATTTATAGTCTCCAAGAAAGAAACCCTGAAGATTTCACTGTTGCCATCTTTGCTCTGACATATCCACAGGCTGATCATCAGCTGCAACCACGTGCATTTCTGATCTCCCACTGAAAAAAAGGCAGTTTTCACTCTTTTTAAGTGCTGCTAAGACCACTGAGAAAATGTTAAAAATGAATGATCCTCCTGTGAGCATTGGGTAGTAAAAACTTGAAGTCCATCTCCCAAGAGGCACAGTGTGCTTCTGGCTATATATTGTACTTGAGTTTTCTAATTTTCTTAAATGCCTCCACTGTATTTGACAGAGGACACAAAACCACAGAGAATTTGCAGAGATTATAACCAGTTTCTAAATCCAGTTTCTCAACCCAGCTAATCAAATATCTTGTGCCATGTCCTTGCCCACTTGTATACTGAAGTGGGTGATTCTTTTCTGTATTGTATATAATTCTATTGTATGAGACCCCAGTTAACTTAGACAGCAACGTGGCTTTGCTGACAAGTGTGACACAATATACATGTAATCCAGCAGGCTGACATGAATGCAGACACTTTCAAAAGCTCTTCTGCTCTCTCCCTCTCACCTTTTCACTCCACAAGTTCTAGAGCTCAGCAATGCCCCTGCCAGTGTGCCGTGTTAAAACAGCCTGATTAAACTGACTCAGTAAAACACCAGATTATAGACATCCACACTAATGAGCATTTCTGATCTGTGACTTTTACAGGGAACATCTGGAACCCTCTGGGAAATTGCCTCTTCATTGCACAAGTCCGGGAAGCCTTCTCCAATAAATCATTCTCTACCTTGCTACTCGTTCTTCCATTTCTTCCTTTGGGCAGAATTGGTTCTCAGATCCCTACAAATAGCTTGATTCTGATTTAATATTTGGAAATAGTGCTTTATGGACAATTTCTAAGGACATGAGAGATTAATATAAAAAGTAACATAGCATCTATAACCTCATCATCTTCCTCATCCCTCAAGTGGAATAAAAGAACATCTGGCTCCGAATATTCTGGCACCACAAACTTTCATCCCACATGCCCAGCAAGCAGCTAGCCTGAGTGCACACACCTGCATTAGAGGTAACGACTCTTCTGACCAAAGGAAGAAGGGGTTCTCAGTTCCCAAAGCAACCGAAGAGAGGAATTCCCTCGCAGACCTCCCTGTCCTGCACAGCACCTGATACAAAGGAAGGTTGCTCATACAGCAGTTTCTCCTGGCTAAGCAGGACTCATCACATTTCATGCTGAAATAGTGTCAGTGCTAGCTAGACAAAGATGCAAAAAGCTCTTTCTCTGCTTGGGTAGCTGTGTCTGCTCAGCCAGCATGTCTTGGTCCTGGGCTCTAACAGCTCCTGCAGCTGTCTGGACCCCCTGAGAGTCATTCACAGTTTGAGTGGAACCATTCATGCAAATCTTCCTCTCAAGAACAATAAAGGAATACGAAATTTAGCATCAACCTATTCAGCCCCATCTGAAATAACTTCAGGCTGAGGTCTTTAGAAGCTTAAGTGAGGCTGTGCTGCTGCCGTAGCAAAACAACATCTCCACGGGGTGCTCAGGGGTCAGGAGCTTTGCAGCAGTACACACAGCACCTTGCAGCAACTGTGCCTGTGGAGCCTCTGTGGTCATGTGCCTGAGGTTGGGATGTCAAATAATGCCTTACTCCTCACCCTGTGGGACAACAGTTGTAAAGCAAACAGGAAAATGGCTGCGCTTGCCAAAAACCTGGCTGTGCCACCTGAGTTGCTTTGCAGCACCAGGAGGTGCTTGTGCATGTGTGCTCTGCTACCTTTGGGTTTAAAGGCAGGTGAGAGATGAGAGGAACGGAACACTTCCCTGTATGGAAGGTGCAGTTGTATGTCATCTGTCCTTGGAACCAGGTGAGAAAGATGTAGGTACAGTGATCACTCCCACAGGCCTGTGCTCCCAGCTGCCTTCTGCAGTCATTTCTATCAGCATGTCAGCCAGCTAACCTAGGAGTTCAAAGCTGTTGCCCTCCCTCAGAGAAGAACAGCATGTCCTGAGCAGTCAACAAAAGGACAGGGAGCTCATGAGGGAGATATGCAGGTAAAAGCAAAGACAATTATTTTTATTTGACAATTTGATTCAAGGTCTGTTTGTTCTCTGCATTGATACCGTTGCAGATTCATTCCAGTTCAGAAGCTGTCACACAGGGAAAAAGGAAATAACACAGCCTGGCTCCCTTCTTTTGGCATCTGAACAACGGTTCCTCAGGAGCACTCGAGAGGCCAGCAGCATGTAAATGCTTTCCCTCATGGTGACACTGACAGAACTTTCTGGTAGTAGAGCAACCCCCTTCAGCTACTCACAGCTGCACGTACCTTTGGTGCAACATCATCATTATGCAACACTGGCTCTCCCACTTTTCTCTCCCTGTGCCTCTCATACTTGCGCAAGCAGAAGCTGAGATGGAGCCCTGCAAATAGTCTCTGAGAACCCCAGCCCTCCTTTTCTTAGCATGCCCTGCTCCCAGCTGCATCAGAGGTGAGTTTGAGGCACTAGATACCACTGAACTGCAGCCCAGGAGGGCACAGTTGTCTCCAGTCTATTCAGAAGGAACCTATATGGCACAAACATGTGCTGCCAGTGTGCTTGTGCACCTAATGATGCAGGCGGCTGGGATGTGCTCTAGTATTTACAAGCAGATCTAGACTTGCTGCATCTCTGAGCCCCCGCCTTTCTGGGTCACCACGACTTCCGCAATCATCCTGCTCACCAGGACTAATGGAGCACAGATGTACTCTCAAGGGAGTGTGTGAACCAGAACCCTCATCTCTGGAACACTTCCAAGCAAGAGCCATCTCCTCACCATCACGTAGCCCAAAGTACCTAAGGAGAACAGAGCAGGAAATCAGGCAAAAGAGGAAGTTCATACTGCTTTTGCTACATGATCCCTTTCAGTTTCTCAAGCACAATTTATATTCACATCTTCAGAGGAAAAATTTTGTGCTAACAAGTAAGAAGGAAACAACCACAATGAGATATAGATCTGCGATGCTTTAATTAAAGCACAGCAAGACAGTGAACAACAGCAAGTCTCTCGAGTGTTTCACAAGCCTCACCTGAGTCATTATTGTTTGCCTTGTAGGTTGCAAGGTGTCTATGACTGCTGGCTTGGAGGGCATGGAGCACATGGGGCAAGCTGAACCTGGCTGTGAGGCAGAGGCGTGTATTGGTGCTTGTCCAAAGCGAGGGATGCAGGTGCACAGCTAGCAAGGAGAAGGTGGCAATGTGTGACTGAGCTGTGGCAGGGCAGAGAGAGGAGGTGTCTCATTCTAGACTGAAGAACTAAAGTGTCTTAAAAGGAAAGATGAGTCACTGAAAGCGTGGCCCAGGCAGATTCAGCCACTGTGATGGTAAAAACCCATACTTCTGATTTACCACTTTGGACAGCAAAGATCACCAGAATGTAAAAGTGGGTGATCATAAGCAGAACTGAGAGGTGGTCTGTGCTGGGTTGTGAGAGGTTCTCCCCATGACCCTGCCAGCAAAGCACCAGCAGGAAGCCGTGTGGTGCTGGCCATGGCCAGAACTGGCAACAAGGACACAGAGGCCTTTTTAATATTGCAAAGACAGAAATTAAATCCTTCTCCTGTTACGCAATGCTTGCCTTTCCTCAGCAGGGATCAAATCAATATGGGCAATGCAAAGTCAATGGTTTATTTCAAGGGATTTTGAATTGGGCTTTGTAGGCAAAGAAGCATCAGCCTTGTTTCAAACTCCATGAAGACATATTGGTATTTCCATTCCATGTCTATTTGTAGGACAGAAATGTGACTTTGTTCCTCTTTAATCCTGTTTGAATGTCAGGAAAAAAAAGAATCCCTGAAGTTATTTGGAGAAGAGGAGGCTCAGAGACCTCACTGCACTCTACAACTTCCTGAAGGGATGTTGTGATGAGGAGGGGTTTGGTCTCTTCTCCAGGCAACAAACAGGACCCGAGGAAATGGCCACAAGTTGTACCAGAGGAAGTTTAGGTTAAACATAAGGAAAAACTTTTTCTCAGAGAGTGGTCAGGCACTGGAATGGCTGCCCAGGGAGGTGGTGGAGTCCCTGGCAGTGTTCAAGAGGCGTCTGGATGAGAAGCTATGAGATATGGTTTAGAGGCTTATGGTAGCAATGGTAATGGGAGGACGGTTGGACTAGATGATCTTGTAGGCCCTTTCCAACCTTGTGATTCTATGATTCTGTGATTATCTCTGGTGAAAGCTGGGGATCCCACTTGTTAGAAAGTGAGAATCACCTCCAGGTAAGCAGTCTCGTAGCATTAACTTTGTATTTCCTCATGCCTTCTTCTGGTTTATTTGAGTCTTTCAGCATCACTTCCATGGTGGCAGTTCAAGCACACACAAACATGTGCATATGCACTTACATGCACATCATGACAACACAGCCACCAAACCGTATCAACAGTGTTAGCAGTTTAGCACAAACCTGTCTGGATGAAGTTAACAACAGCAGAAACAGAACATTCACATAATTTCTGGAGAAAAGCTACAATGGTAGGCCTGCTTACATAACTGATTTAATGCTACAGAATTGCTTTCTGCCTTTAATCTGCTCAACAGTTTATCTTTGCTGTCGTGATCGGTTGAGCTTTCTTTAAACCATTATGGATTAGCATTCTGCCATAACATGTTAAAAGCTTAGCTTTGTTTATTTTTGTCAAGAATGGGGGAGGGATATCAGGTTCAATTGCTCAGGCAGCAGGTTATGGATGGTTATTTTTCTTACAATCAACATATGAAAGTGCCAAATGCAAGGCACAGCTAAATATTTCCAGAGACAGTATGAATATTCCAGAGTGGCTGGAATATCTGTGAAATTGTTAAAAAAAAAAAAAACAACACATTAAATAAAAAGAAAAGAGGAGCTTCAACATTTTTCATAATTATTTTACTCTCTAAATAATAAAACGTAATCCAGCACTTAAAAAGTTCATCCCACCCACCAGCTTTTATGGAATACTGAAGAGTAAATGGTCTAAAAACTTAATTAATAAGGCTGATTAATGGTTTTACCACATTTGCATTATTGTTGCCATTTGGAGACAAGTCCTGCTAAAAGTAATCTTACTGTTATTCAGCTGTAGGACAATAACTCACCATCACGCACATAAAACACCAAGCAAACTGCACCTCAGTCACACTGCACACAAAGAGAAGTTCAGATAACATTCCCCATCCATTCATGTGCATTTTCACAGTGGATTCATAACACCGACTGCAGATGACCTATTAGAAGATTACAGTACAAATCCATGCCTGATTTTCTACTACCAATTGATTGCAATACCATTTTAGACCAAATCCAACAATTAGCACACTTATTCAAACTCTGCGTAATCCAAGTGATTTGCAGATGCCAGAATGGAGTAAGAGGCTGTGATCCTGAGTGCTGCCAATAACCCTCTGTGCAGCTCTACACTATTCCAAAGAAACACCAATACTGTGACCTGCCATGCAGGCAACCATACGGCTCTGCAACTTCCATATCCAAAAGGAAGCAAAGAAGCACTTCCATGTTCCTAAAAGCGACACACACACACCAGAGAAGTTCGAAAAGAGAAGTGTCTCATGGTGCTGTAATAAAAACATAAAACTGGGAAAGTCATTCAGAAAAGAGGAGGAAAAAAATCCATCTTGTTTGTGATCAGTGTGCTGTTTTACATTCTTATCAGGAGGAATCTCTATCCCGCACATTCCAATGAATGGCCACTTGCTATTACTTTGTCTTTCTGACGGCAAGCGGAGCACTGCTCCAGAGTTCCAACATTCCCTTGATGCTGCTCTGGTTAATGCTTGCGAGCTATTTAAACAAAGCATATTCCAACTAAATCTGACTATATATGGAATTCCCTGACAAGGAAAAATTTGGATGCCCTACAAAAAAGAACCATGAAAACAGCAAATGCACACAAACACACAAAACACTCTGAACTTCCCCAAGTTGAAGTGTGCTAGAAGAGGCTCTTAGTGGCAAAGGTCAGGTACCCAGTGTGACCCACCATCTCCTTCAGTGGCACGCCGCTTTTGAACTGCACCGTTCCTTGCTGCAGATTAGTGCCTGGGCTACCTTGGTTTGATGGGTTGCTGCTGTCAAAGCCAGTGCTAGAATTATCCTCAGCTGCTTTTCCAAGGTCAGGGATTTGCAAGCTAATTGTCCTTACATTGTATACTCGGAGCAGAATTTCCAAGGTGTTAATCTCTGTAAAACCGTACTCTTCCATTGCTAGGCAAGTTCTCTGGACTTGTTCAATGCAGGGGGAGAAAGAGCAGATGCGGCCACCTGCAAAAGAAGACAGGTAGTAGGTAAGAGGGCAAAAACACAAATGAAGCACTTTTTCTATTTTTTCAAATTCTCCTAGCTGCGTGTAGAATTACAATTAGGAGCTGGACTCGATAATTCTTATGCGTCACTTCCAACTTGGGATATTCTAAGATTCTATGAATTCTACAAAAATAAAAACATTCTGAAAGAAAATCTTCATCAGGCAACTCTGTGGGATCAAAGTGTCAGCATCAAGATGACTTCACAAGATGCATCAGACTCCTAAAAAACTGCAATGGCAAACTCACTCATCTTCCAAACCCAGCGTTGCCCACCGCACTTGTTCATGATAAAACTCTTAAAGTCAATCCCCTCAGGGCAGTGCCTCTTTTGGAGTCACTATCCACTGCTCTGGGCTGAGGCACTGCTCTGAAGCTGGCAACTACACAAAGCCAGAAGTCATTCTCCACACACTGTACAGAGCTGCCTTCATTAGAATCTAAGTGTGCGTGCACACACGCTCCGACAAAAGCGGCTGTGTTTATTTGGGAACGATGGTATGCGTGTACAGAATAAAGTAATCTCTCCAGGCCATAGATGGAGTGCTGTTAAGACTTTACCCTTTTAGTCAAGCTGACTAGCGTGTCTCTTGAGCATTAAAATTTACTGAATACCACATCGGGCAGTTTTACAGCAAATGCACCAAACCACTAGGAAGGGGCTCTTAGTGACAAACTAACGCTCACCTCCTCCTCTGCACATGGCTCAGTTTGGATTCCACACTCAGAACACTAATAGGCTCCCTACAACTTTCTGCTGGCTACAATGTCACCTTAACAGCTGAGAATAGAATGATTCAGATTTACTCTGAAAAGCCACAGCCAAATCAGATCAAAGAATTATAAGGACACTGTCTGCCATAAAGCCAGGGCATGTGCTTTCACCCGGGACACGGTGTCCCACGAGGGACGCTGCCCTTCCTGAAAAGCTTTTGTGCTGGGGGAAGGAGCTGGACAATGCAGCTTCAGCCACTGTTTCACTTCTTACAATTAGATGAAAATGTGTGCTGACCTAATTTGCATTCCTTCCCAGCCCTCTCCCAGGCTCATCCCGTTGAGCCTCCCAAGCCCTGTTGTCTAAGCAGTTAAAAAACCCGTGCAGCTGAGAGCAAAGCATCCTGCTAAAAATAGAGGCAATGCAGGGGCTACACGAGGCCTGCTTTATCTCAAACTCGCTCTTTTTTTTTCCCCCCCTTTCTCATTTCTCAAGTCACATCTCTAAAAAAAGAAAGCATCAGGTCTGAGAGTGTCACTGTAGCACTCCAGTTACTGCACAGCAATGATGTGCTGGGCACTGATTGGGGAAGAACACTTTCCATGACCATTAATCCACCACACACTAAGCAGGATTTAATTTTAGTCCTGGGATAAAGTCTCCACAGCCAGCAGTTCTTATCATGCATCTTCAGAACAAAGTACCCAGACAAGTAATTCCCTGGAGTGACAATTAAAGAACAAATCTAATAACCACCTGCAAAATTACTGCTGGTATGTGTCACTATTAACCAACTCTGGGGATGCCAATTTAATTGTGCACCCGGTCTGTTAGTTCCCATGAAATTAGATTTATATGTTTATCAGTGTGGCCAGCACTACCAGAACTGCATCCGACAGCTCTTCCCTTCTGGCCAGGCAGTACACTGCCATGGTTGTAGATATAAAAGAGAAAAGCTCGAGAAGAAATTTCTGTTATGTAACTAGAAAGTTACTATAATGACCATATGTTATAGAGAACGATGCCATATTCTTATTGTGTAGGGAACTGAACAAACGTCTAACTTAGCTAAATGTCAGTTCACAGTAACTCTTTGTCTGCAAGGAAAGAATCTGCACTGAGATCTGAGACTTACTACGATTTCATTCAGGCTTTTCATTTTTTGCATTCATATTGAAACAAAAGATGGCAACGTATTTACATTTACAACAAACCTGTTCTCCTTATTTACTCTGACTGCAAAGATTTCAAGACATCTTTAGGCACAAGCTGTGGATTTACAGAGGAAAAGTAAGAAGCCTGCACACAACTGCAGCAACACAAGCTGCAGACCCGCCTACAGCTCTTGTCAAGCCTCCAATTAAAGCCAGAGCAACCTTCATTTTGCCTCAGGATGGTCAGCTGAGCACAGCATGGCAGCACCAAACTTGGTATTAATTTATCAGGCTGCCTCCTCACAAAGCAGACTGCTTAGGGAAGCAGGGCTACAGAAAATGGGCTTCTGAGCCACTGGGTAGAGAAGAAGGTGCTTGTGATAGCTGACATCCAGATGGCATCTGTCAAACAGGCAAGGAGGTCTTCTTTGCTGTCTCCTCTCAACATCACCCTGCAGGCTGGGTTGGACGCACGGGCTGAACTTGTTTCATTAAGCAGGTGTTAAGAAAAGGTTGGAAGGCTGCAATTAGCAGAAGGCTTGAAGGTAGAATGAAATTGCAGCTCCAGACTTCCAGACTGCCTAAAATAGATTTGGGACGCTTCATTTGCCATGGTGTTTTTAGCTGCCAAAAAAAAGTGGACTCTGAGCAAAAGAAAAGCAGCACTGAGAAGGACATGCTCTTCTGCTGAAGGAGCAGGACTTCTAGGTGCAAGCCAGGTTCGTGTTCTCTCAGAGCTCTCCTTTTAGGAAAGCTACCGTTCCTAAATTTGTTTAATGAGACCTGTGTGTCATCATAAATGGATACAGCAATTATTTGAGATTAATCCTGTTCACATTGGGAAGCCGTGTGAGCTTTTTGATCTGAAGAGCTGTCTAAAAATGTGTTTATTCATGTATAATGCCTCTGACAAGTGCTAAAGTTGAAAAGAAAATAATGAGTCTGTATTAAAGCCTTAAATTTCTTTTTCCACCTTCAATTGTACAGAGAGTGAGTTTATTTGAAACATTTAATGGAGAGGTTAAATCTGAATCTGTAGGCTGGAAGGTGCCCACACAGTCCTGGCAGCCACTCTAACCAGCAGTGGGGTCAAGAGCCTATGAAAATTAAAGTACAATTGGAACAATTAGAGGAGAGAGCTCAGGGGAAGGGGAAGAAATAAAAGAGAGGATTTGCATCTACAAAGCACTGTACATTTTTTTTAAGCATGGTATTAAAAGTATCTAATTAATAATCAAGAGACACACCTTGCTATCTTATATAGAGATCAGTGCCTTGGAAATTGCTCCTCCTTCCAGCACAGTTCTTGGTATGCTTCTGTGCAACTCCTCCAAGCAACTGTGTTTCTGGTTTGTCTGAGCAAAGAGTAACACCTCTACCAGTTCTACTTACCTAAAATCTGCATGAGGTATCCAGCATGAAAAATCTGGCAGTGCTAAACAACTGACACAAACTCAATGCATCCTCATGCTATGAAAACAACATGTGTCCAAGTTACGTGCCCTCTCTTTTGCAGGTTGCTGTATGCGTCACAAGTGCTCTGCTAGGTTTGTTCATCATCACACTATTACTCAGAGGATGTGAAAAGAACATATGTTGTGCAGCACTGCTAAGTTCCTGAGAAAAGGGCCCATAATTTTGGAAATGGTTCTGTGACGCAGAAAATGCAGCACAGCATTTTTATTTCTGGTAAGAGAACACAGCTCTGGGTTTTGGGATTTCAGTGCATTGTGATAATTGGAAGATTATGTTACAAAGATCCCATGGCATGATCATTATGTAGGGGTGAGGCAGGAAAGTCACAGAGCAGCATCACTGTGGCATTTACTCTGTGCTAGTAGGACACTAAAAATATTGCCTCTGCAAAAGGGGACAAAATGTCCTTTAAATGAGTGTGCTCGTGGGCGATTTGATGCAGCTTCCCTGACAAGTGAAATTAGAGGATCTGGCTGTTGTTAGAAATTAAAGGATGTTTCTTGATTCAGAAAAGAAAAATTTTTCCAAATCAATCGCCAGCTCATTAATGGGAGCTTGATGCCATTTTCTGCAAATGTGACCTTAATCTCCATGTTTGTAGGTGCATCCTTCCAAAGCAATTCATTCCTACTGACTGCTATGGAGCTGGCAAAAGCACGTATCAAAAATGGGGGAAAAAAAAAAAAAAAAAAGTTGGCACCAGACTCGTGAAGAAAATCTAACAACTTCCTTTAAGATTCGCTTCATCCCCAGCTTCTTTCTACAAGCTGTGCAAAGTCCAACAATTCTGGCCAGCATTCCACAGTATGGATTACAGTGCAGGAAACCTGCTTAGCTCATGACAAGTGAAAGAATCACTTCTGCTTAGGACCAGGCCCACTGTGTGCACCTGAGCTAAAAATCCCTGCAACCTCAGCTAAGTTAATGCCGTCCAACAAGATACACCAGCCGTGCTTAGCTCAGCAAGCACTGCTTGGGAACCAGATGGAATTTGAGAGTTAGCACCTACTTCTGATCCTAGTAGGGCAGCTCTGCGCTAGACCAGATGGTCCCTCAACACTTGGAGGTTGTTTCAAACTATCATAGAATCACAGAATTGTTTGCGGTGGAAGAGACCTTTAAAGGTCATCTAGACCAACTCCCTGCAATGAACAGGGTCACCTACAGTTAGATCAGGCTGCTCAGAGACCTGTCCAGCCTGACCTTGATTATCTTTACCTTCACCTTGAGCAAATTCTCCTTCAAATCAAAGCAGGTGGCACACTAATAAAGGCTGGTGATGATGTTTTATGGACACTTACAGCTTCGTTCATTTATTCCAAAACAACCTCCTATGGACATGAGAAGCACTGATACCATCTTGAGTACCACCTGCATGGGTGGAGGAAGAAAGTCTAGACAGCACACTAGACTGGCAGGCTCCACTTCCTGCCCTAACACATTCCCTGTGTGTTCCTGAGGCAGCCGGGGCTCAACCAGCAGCAGCCTCCCATTGCTGCCCTCTCAGCATGGTTCAGCCTGGGGGGCTCCCAACCCAGCTGCCACAGAAGCAGCTGAAGATTTCAGGTGTTCCTCAGAGCCATACCTGGGTGGTTTGAAAATGGGACCATGAATAACCTCTAGGGCTTAGGAAAAATAGCCAGTGAGAATTTCTGCATAAAACTGGTATTCCCTGAAAGCACTAGGGAGGAGGGAAACAAACCTAAATAAAGATTAAATCCCTTACCTACGCCACAGGCTACTGGGAGGTTGGGTTGTTATTTATTTGCTTATACAGCAACTGTAAGAACCAAACCTGGCAGGTTAGGACAACAGTCAATGGCTATGGTAGAGGAAAAAATGCAAGCAAGACTTGTTTTAAGTCCACTGTGAACTAACAAAACAAACAAAAGACTTTGGAAATGAAAAGCAAGTACCTCTAAGAAAAGCAGAGTATTCCTAAAAGGTTTCTTCAATGAGGCCCATTCAGGGAGGTGTTTGGAGGAACTTCCACTGCAGGGCTTTTTGGGGAGACCTGAACCATGTCACTTGATTCAGGTGAGATCACACAGATCACTATTTGACAAACTCATAATTTAGGGCTTTATGGAGAGAGGAGATGAAGGTTGAACATAAGAAAGAAGCTTTTTTTACGATAGGGGTGGTGATGCACTGGCACAGGTTGCTCAAAGATGTGGTGGATGCCCCATGCTTAGAAACAGCCAAGGTCAGGCTGGACGGGGCTCTGAGCACCTGATGGAGCTGTGGGTGTCCCTGTTCAGTGCAGGGGGGTTGGACTGGATGGCCTTTAAAGGTTCCCTCCAACTCTAACAATTATATGTATATATGTATGAAATAGGCAATACTTAGAGAGCAGAGTAGGTGGGTACAGAATTATAATCAAAGCACTACAATATTCAGTTGGGAGACGACTGAGTCAAAAGTTTCAGGGTATTTAAGTACTGTAGGATGTGGAGGATATTTCTGTTACCTCTCATTTTTTTCATTCTGTTAAATTATTCTTTTTTTAAAATCTAGCCTGAAGGGGTTAACAGCAACTTTGCAAAAAACCACCAAGGTCAGATACTGCTATGACTACAGAAAAGCATTCATCAGCAGATGCTGCAAAAGGAAAACAGTGCAGGTCTGGAAATGAAAGCAAGTTCTGCAGTGCAGCAGTGCCTGAGAGATATTACAAGCAGCATTTCTGCCTGAAAGCGTGACTGGTGAAATGAGCACAGAAGGATGCAGCTGAGATGCAAGCCTGAGCATCAGCAGAGCATGTCACCAGAGAACAAGAACCTTCGAGTCAAAAACACTCTGTGCATTTTTATTCTTTTAGCTCTTCACAAGTTGGCAGTGCATTAAACGGGAGGCCAAGCTATCGTAAGCAGCATATTTACAGCCTACTGCTAGGCATAACGTGAGTGATAAATGTACTCTGTGAAGAGGATCATTAACACTCAGCCTACTAGGAGCTGCAAGACTCAGGATCTTGAGCATAAGTAGGAGAGAAAATACTGATTTGATAAGCATTTGTTAAGGTCAAGAACTCTCTCTTACATGCAATCTCAGCTGAAAACTCTATAAGGAATATTGTGGTTCTAAAGAGGAGGTTAACTCATGCTATATATTGAATTCATGACTTCAACCTAATTACCTTACGACCTCAGCGAATGAATGACCACTGCCTGCCAGCAATGTTTACACTGTGCATCACTATAAAACCTGCCATGTGATCCTGTCCAGATGCATGAGAGAGGATATGGAGGGAAAAGAGTGCAAGGGCTCATTCTCTCCAGTGATGCCTTATCACCGAAATGAAGGTGAGCAGCAGTATGTGCACAACCTGTTCTTACTGCAGAAGAGCTTTAACTATTTGAAAACAGCCATAAGCAGCTTCACCCTTTGACTGGTGAAACGCACACGATGTCACTTTACAGACAAAAAAAAAAAAAAAAAAGGGTTTTAAATATTTCTAATATTGGCTTAGCAGGTGTAACCTTGTAGCACAGAAAAGTGTAGCCAAAGAGTATTGTCAGTTTGGTACTACGGTACCTTTAATCTGTTTTTCAAATGCTGGAGTGAGACAGGGATTCAAACCTCGGAATTGCTCAAGCAGCCCTGCTCAGTATTCTAAGCATGCACCACTTAAATCATTCAAATTGGGCTGCGCAATGCAGCGCCTTCTAAGCTGGGAAGTCAGCTGAGTGTTCTGCTCACCAGATTAGATAATTTGAGCATGGGAAGGGCATTGTACAGTGCAGTGAAAATTATTTTTTTCCCAGGACACACTGGAAAGCAGCTTCAAATTCAGCTGTTACCCTTGCAGGTACAGAGTGCTAATTAGTCTCTCTTTTTGTTTATTTACTTTTTAAAGAATGTGTTGTATTGGAAAGCTTCCTTGAAAATTTTCCATGGTAGTGGAGGGAGCCTACTGCCTGGGTTGGTCCTGACTCAAACACATTCAGTGACCTTCCAGAACAAGCTTAAATCCTGTGATTTAGACCAAGCAATTTACCTAAAGTCAGTACCCTGCTAAAGTCATGTCCCAGCATGGGCACTGTTCTGCACTCCATACTGTCTTGATTAGAAAAGTCACCTCATAGCCTGGCAGAAGTTAGCTCAGATTCACACCAGTGCAATTACAATGGCAGAACAGCAATCAGGGGAAAACATATTTCAGGATAGGAGAATAGTTTATTCCCTACAAAAGATGTACCATAAACAGACAAAACCCATCCAATCCCACACTAGCAGTCTCCACTTGTTGCCATCATCCAGGAGCAGCTGACACAAGCTGGAACACCCTTTAGGTTCAATGCCTACTGCAGCCAATGTCATACTTCCCATTAGCTCTGACAGCAGAGATTTAAGGTAGAAATCAGTATGCATATTTAAGAATAACCACATTTTCTTTAACATTATTGATGTGGAGCATTGTTAAACTGGTCCAATCTGCAATGATTGATGTAAAGTGATTTTGAACACCTATTATACAAACACCTTTCCACTGAAGTGCCAAAGAAATTTGCTTTCAGCATTTATTGTTGCTGCTGCCTCCCACACACCCTCAGATCTAGAAAATGCACTAGACAAAGGTTCAAACATTGTTTTCTTTTATAAACTACCCATTAATTGCAGCTGCTAGCACGGACCTGTAGGGAAAAGTTGTTCTGCTCTTTTCAAAATCTTTCCCTGCAAACTGAAGACTTCTTTTTCATCCTTTGAAATGCTTAGAGACTTTGACATTTGAGAACAGCGACCACATAATGGAAAGGAACAGATCTAGCATATAGCTGAGAGGCAGAGACGGTACTTCCTAAAAAGAGCTAAGTGCAGTTACCTTCAGCTTTTAACGCTGACTTTGCATGTCCAATGGCTTCCCATGGAGATGGAATATCCAGGAACACAGCATCTGCAATGTCTGAGACACCAAATCCATTCTTGCAGACATCCTGGTTGGTCACCGTGACCAGATGCTCTACTCCATGCTCCCGAAATTCCTCCTTGGCCTTCTCAGCTCTCTGTTGGTGGAACTCCACTGTGTACAGGTGCCCCGTGGGAGCCACTGTCCTAATGAGAGCGTGGGACAGGGATCCACTGCCTGTACCTAGAAAAGAAAAGCAGCTTGTGAAATGCCTTTTGACAGTGCTAGGCACTGCTACAGCGATCTTCTTCATTAGTCCCATCTAGAACACTAAATGAAAAACAAAACGAACAGGAACCATTGGTTAAATTAACAAAAGAGAACAGTTCTTCCCTCCCAAGGAGAGATGGACCAGATGACCCAGGAAACAGTTTTCAGGATCCTCAAAATGTTAATTAAAAATCTGTGAGTAAAAAACAAATTTTTACTCAGATTTTTTACTCACATGGCCAGCAATGTAGCTCTACAAAGGGCCATGGGAGAGCATCAGGGGAAAATATAAAGAAAATTAACCACAGATTTTTTTCTCCAAGTGCAAGACTCTTCTAGGGTAAAAAGAGATGAAGGCAAAGTTCAGCATATTTTCAAAACCTTACACTTCATTAAAACAAGAAAGAGATGTTGGCAAGAGCCTATGTTTGAAAACCCTACTGGTATCTATGCAGACAGCCAACCTTCATGACATGGAACCTGTTTTGCCCAGGCCTCTTGTCACACACCAGCCATCCTCAGCACATCCTGAAATTACCCAGAATGGAGGCTCCTGGGCTCCCTGCACTCACACCAACCAAGTGACCTGACTGCACAGGTGGTTTACCTGTACAAGTCTACACTGTCTAGTGAAGTCTAATGGCATGCACCACATACCCAAAATTGTACACAAGTTCGATTACCATGTACAGTCACAGACTAACCATGAGGATACAGACTTTCTTATTTGAGCTTGGTAATTTGGGAAACTTATTTTTAATGATCCATTGGCATGTTAAATACATAATGACTAATAACCAATGTTTTCACTGAAGAAAACACCCATATACCGACTCGTATTGCAGATTACTCACTGAAGTGGCATTTAGCAGAATAACCCACCAAACTCAAAGCCCCACAGCAACCCCAAATTATCTGTGTTTATTGATTTATAATTCTGTACTTGGAACACACTTTTCCTGTAGAAAGAAAATCTATTTCTAGCTATCTTCAGTGACTGTTCAGGCTAAGTTTCAGCCTGAAGCAAGTTCTTTTAACTACCGCAAATCATAAAAACTATTGCTAAAGGACAGAATCTGAAGAACAGCAGCAGTGGAGAAAGCTCAGAAACCAGCAGAGAGGAAATTAATTAGGGGACTCAGAGGTTGGTATGCTGCCTAATTGGAGGAACACTTTCCTGACTCGGACAGGAAGTCAGAGTTTAGTGACAGATCCAAGGTCCTTGCCCTCTAGTCACATAAGGGGTGAAATATTGCTAAGGCACTGGATTTGAGCTGACAGCTCTGAGAAGGGAGCCATTCAGACCATGAAGAGCTCAGGGCCCACATTTGACATGAGACCAACCGAATGCTCTGCAGAATGGGCACCACTTCCCTGCTTCCCTCTGGGAGGGCTCTGACCCTGGCAGGCACAGCAGCACTTCCCCCAGCTTTAATGGGAGGGAGGACCTCAGATTTTAGCACTGGCCCCAGAAAGGTCCAAGAGGAGGGTGAAACTGAAACATAAACATTTATTTTAAGTGAAAATTCATGCATCCACACCAGTATTACAGTAAAGCAAGCAGAAGACAGAGGGCAGTTACCTGTGCACACGTGATAAATTACCCACTTGCAGTACCAGCTGGCTCTAAATATTGACATAAACTTTTCAATGGTCAAAACAGTTAATGGTATCATGGCAGCCACGTGGCTGCAAAAACTCAGTAATGTACACACACAGCACAGAAACAGCATTTCACTGTTTTTTGTAATGACTAAAGCAGGGATGCCCGTAAGATGCTAAAATAACTGAAACCTGCCATTATGTTTCGCACCAGAAAGCAGGACTGCATGACTGAGAACTTCTGCAATCCTACAGAATGTAATTATTTTACCTTCCTAATGGGCAGTGCTGCTGACTTTTTGCATTGTTCTCAGCTCATCTATAAGAGTGAACGGGAGGTCTGCCAGCACAGCTGGGATGGACGCAGAAGAGAGGCAGCTTGCGCACGTATCCAGTTTCCTTGTTCATATCTTTTACATTTTTAATCTGCTTTTCAAAACACCAGAGAAGATACAGTTTGTCTCCTTCCTACGAAATCCCATTACATTGTTTTGTTTTATTTTCCAGTACTTTTTTAAATTCACAAACACTCCAAAGCCAAACCCAGCACCAAAAACAGGATGCTGGAAGTCATCGCTTGCAGGCGTGTATTACAGATTGAGCTTTTGTCAAACAAGGTTGCCAGGAATTATTTGTTGTTGACTGGCTACTGCAAACATGAGAATACATACAAATCACATTTTAAGCTGACATCACTAATGAGAGTATTTCTAGAGATGCTGCCTGCCTCCTCCATGACAACACTCTCAAAACTGCAGGAAACAAAGAACAAGGTGGCTATGAATCATTCACCATTGCAAAATTTCTTCTTTTGTTGAAGAGATCACAGATTCTGAACCCAATCCTGTGAAATGATGATGACCCTTGGCTCTCATATGCCTGACAGTTAACACACTTGTTGTGGTTCATCAGGAATATCCTCATTGGGGTCTGGCAGTTCAGCACAGTTCTGTACTCAAGCACAACTCCTAATGCTGTCTACAGAAGGCAGGTTCAAACCTTTATTTCTCTTATATTATAGAAGGGGAAATTAATGTTTATATTCACCTCCTCCCCTGCAAATTTGCAGTATTCAACATCTGAGCTTTCTCAGCACCTTCTCAACTCCTTTTCCATTTCTCTCCATCCATCTCTGACACCTCTAATCTCAGAGCAGTGCTTCTACACTCTCCCAAGACAACAAAACCAGCACAGATTTAGAAGGATTTATATCCTAACGAGTGGAAACCTAGATGAAACATTCGGGCTCAGTACCTATTGATTCCTGCTTCTGATTTACAGACAGCAAGGCATTGATCACATGAACAACCCAACAATTCCCCTGACCTCAAAAAGATTTGTTCTTCTCACCTTCTGCTGATTCAAGTGACATGTTTTCCACAGAGAAGCCTCCACACACCTCAGCATCGTGAGGCAGCATCCACTGTAAGATCATTCCTCATTTCAAGGCTGCAGCAGACAACATCTGACCCCTTCAGAAATAACACCTGCTACTTCAATACTGTGTAGATACACATCAGGAGAGCAGTCGAGAGAAACACAAGCATTCCAACAGCATCAAATATAGCACTTGACGGAGAGCTGAATAAGAGGGAGAACACTTCCACTATTTTCTGTTTAGTCTGGTTTTCTAATTTGCTTATCCTCCTGGAATCCCACCCGTGCTGCAAACACAAGAGACCTGATTCTGTGTTCCACTACGTTTTCTCTATGCTTGCCTACCCCAAAATTTCCCTTCCATGGGCTTTCTCTTTTTAAGAAAGGAAGTAAAAGTGTGATTTCGAAGCCATAGATGTTTACAGCTGTGCTTATTCAAAATATTTGCCAGGTTTATTATGGCAGGTTTGTAATCCAAACTAAAGCTGAGGAAGCTCTTAAGTGCATACATTGGTTTATATAACACAAAAACAGGAAAAGTGGTGTCATTAATTTCTGGATCGATGCAGTATCTAGTCACATTTTAATAGAATTGAAGTATCTGCTGCAATATTTGGCTACACAAGATATTCTAAACTGGGCAAATACAAGAAAACAATCCGTGTTGCTGTATTAGTCTCCTAGCTACCGCTCTTAAACCTAGCAAATAATAAGACGGGTCATGAGTCAGCCATGAGAACGGATGGAGCCTCAAAACCAAAGGAGAATTAATCTTTAGGCACAGCTAAAAACTCCACAGCCAGTATCTGAAGAAACACAGCACAGAGGAACACTGCTCACTGCACATGACAAGTTTATGTAACGAGAGAAACGTTTTAGTGAATATATGATGAGATCTTAAGCACCTGATAGTTCTAACTCAGAAGTCATTCTGTGAGGGCAGTCGGACACAAATCATGGTGGAAGAGGTGAGAAACTGCAAGATCAGGGACAGAGGGAGAGAGGAGGAGAGGGAGAAGGGCATTTCAAGGAAATGGTTTGGCTACTGCAGGAGGAGATGGTGCATCAAGAAGTTCCCCTTACAGATGACCTCCTTCTCTTGCCTTTCTGCTGTGGACATGCTGCTCAAACGGGCATTTTAGGAAGCAGGCTGGAAGCCAAAGAAGGCCACTGTTCAATGGATTCAGGAGCTGGGGAAGGATAGCATGGAAGTTTCCAAGGCTGGCACTACCTACAAAAGGAATGGGAATGTGAAGACTGAAAAGAATTTGCTCTTAAGAGATTCAAGAGGCAGAGTTTTTTAGGGAGGGATCTTCTGCAAAATGGAGGTGATATTGTGAAGTTCAGAGCTGTATGAGAAATGCACTTTGTGATCAAATGAAATGGTAAGATGAAAGGAAGCCCGGAAAGCCTGGAAACAAGAACTTCAGGGTACCAACAGCATTCCTCAGCCACAGGGCTGCACCCATCACAGGGATGCCTCATGTGGCCACAGTTCTACTGCAGTTCTCTGGTATGCCAAGAGAATACTGTGCTCTCTGATGTTGGTACAGATGAGGCTTTTCTTCTACTTCAGAAGGTGTTACAAACAATCACATATTCGAGTTCTTCTCTCTCTCATCTGCTAAGAGGCAGATATGGGAGACATCATAAAACTTAATTAATATGAATATGTCCCAAAATCAAATTAATAGCTACAAAGCTCTGGTGTGTATACAAAAGATACAGCTGCAGAGTTTACATACACTTATGCCACAGAGATGGTGCAGACATGAGCAGTCAGAAAAGTCATAGCACTCCAGCTGACTTGCTGGGACTCCACAATAATCTATTAATCATTTATTAAGTATCCATTAATCATTAAGTCCTCCTTAAGTTTTTATGAGCGTACTCCTAACAAAATCTACATTCAGACCATGAGTTTGAAAATTTCATAACTGTTTTGGAAGAGCTCAGTTTAAGGCAGGCTGGCCACAGGCTCTTGTTACCCCTCCACAAAGAAGCCATGGGAACCCAGAGGACTGTTCTCAGTCTTCACAAATCCCATCTGTGGCTTTGGAACCCCATTGCTGTGTGGCAATGAACAGGGTTTAGCAACTTTTAATTTGGGACTTAGCTGAAGGGAAACAAAAATCCAATTAACATTTTTGCTCATGTGAGTCTGATTTTGTCGAGGGCTGAAGGATCAGTGGGATACTGGTCAGAATACTTTTGACTAAATTACATTTTGTCTAAATACAATGCTCTGTTGAAACAAAAATATTTCTTAGATTTATCAGATTAAACTAGGTTTCACAGTGCTGCACTGCATTCCCTGAGCAATTCTGAGAGTAAGGACAGACACTTGTTTAGGTCTTACCAGGGAGAAAGGACAGTAAAAAAGCCTAGATAAGCGGGTGCTGGAATAAAAAAAAGAGGTCTTCCCTTATGTTTAGCAACAATATCAGAAAGGTTTCATATTTATTCCAATGTAGTATAAAAATAAATTTTAAAACAACAAAAAATTAGTTGTCAAATGGAGTCATTATCCTCCAGGTAACTGCAGTCACAGGACTGAAGACAGCCTTGGCTTGGAAGATGATATCAAGTCAGTTTTGGAGCTTTGGAGAGTGGTGAAACAAAAAAGATTGAACGTATTCCTTTATTTAAACGGTGACTGCACATGCAATGAGCAAGGGTGAGATCAGAGTTACCTGATGAGAGTGAAAGTTTCACGCTACCCACTGCAGGTACTGCAGCAGCTATCTCAGGTATCCTTTACTTCTGGAAAGATCGGGCTGCCAAAAACTCTTTTCAGACAGGTGAATTCCTCAGGTCAGGGACCAGGACTTTCAAGAGATCTTAGCTCCACCAGTTTTTGAATCTCAACGTACTTTCATAAATTAGAAATTAGCAGGAGACAGAAAAGGGATCATATTCCTATGCCTCCATCATGAAACATCAGGCAGATGCTGAGTATCCTTATAGCCTCAATAGAGTATGCTGGGATGATTTTAATTATGCATGTGCTGCTGACCAGCTTGCTCTTTATGTATTTATTAGAAATGATTAAAAATGGTAAAACCTGTATTAATATGCTTGTATTGGTTATGACAGATCATTATGAATCAATTTAAACCGAACAACTCAAGTGATATACAATTAAGCCTTACTTTTAAAACTGATTTTTCCTAACTACACGTGTAAGATAATATATACCAGTATTCACAACATCAGAACATGACGCAGAGGGCATTTTATCTTACTTCACCCATTCTTTCTATGTACACTTGTGCAGATTGCTCCCCAGTTCTGTTTGCTTAGCACAGCAAGGTGCAGGACTCCTGCCACAGCCTAGCAGCAAGGAGAGGGGAGCCTGGCCTGTTTACTGTGCCTGTTTTGCCTCTCCAGCTCCACAGCAACTATATGTATCAGTTCATGTTCAAATAATAAAAAGACAGACTTCCATGCTAATTAATGCCTAAGATACATCTAAAGACAGCACTAACAGGAAGCAGACTCAAATGCCATTACTAGACCAGATTTCCTGCCTTGTTTCTGTTAATCACCATTGGCTAACTCCTCCTAAGCCACACAAGGTTAAACAAGCACGAATGATTTTCGATTGCTGAACGTGGCCTAATTTTGGATGGCACCAAAGTAAGTTACATCATCACACAGGAGGCTCCAGTTGTCAATACATGTAACATTTTTTAATTCGAATCACCAGTTCTGGTCAGTCGTAAGCAAACCTGCAGTAAGAACTCTTGCTTTAAAATTAACTCTTGATTCAAGACACAATACTCCCTCTTCTTTGTGAACAGTGAATCTTTCCGGCAATACAAGCACGACGTTAGCAGTAGAACTGTTTGCTTTCCCTAGAAAGCTGAAGTTAAAACACTAATTAGGACAGCACAGACATTAAAATAAACCCGGAAACAGTTTTCCATAAACAGAAAGGATTGTTTGTAGCTATGGCTTTTGACTCACAACATTTCTGGGAATGTGGATCGGTTAGCTCATCAAGCATTTCCATTTCTTAGCTATTCAGATAAATGAGCTTTCAAAGATTTTCATCTCTCATCATTACTGACAACCGTAATGATGCAGCTCTGTCCTTTAACATTCACCTACCCCAAGAAAGGGGCCAGGAGCTTCTACATGGCCTTGCCTGTTTCCAGTGTGCCCATTTATTACTTATTATGGGTATGACTGGATGCAGATAAGTAGCACTTCAGTTGTGTTGGAAGGCAGCCACAATACCCCCAAAGCTGCCCAGCATCATGCTTGGGTAAGCGCAGGAAATGTTAAATGCAAGTTAACACAGTGCAGTACAACCCTGTCACACTGATCCTTTGCCATATCTATGCTTCAGAAGGAAGCACATAAAACTGCTTCCTAAAAAGACTCAAAGTAAACAGAAAGAAAAAATGAGGACAAACTATCTACAGTTCACATTTTTGCAAACTACAGAGATCAAACGAAATCAAGCAAGCCTCATATTGCCTGCAGCAATAAAATCATGAAAGTGTTATAAACTGTATCTAGCCATGAAAGTATCTATCTACATGAAATATAACTCCTCCTTACTTAAAAATTATGTAAAATTATGGAAGTGGTAATAAGTTAAACCAAGTTTTGAAACAGTGCACAGCACTGTGATGAATGCATCCTCTGTTCTACTATGCCACTGCAGTGAGCTCTGCATGAAGTTGAAGTGCTACAAGTGGATCACAGCTGGGAAGAGAACAACAAATATACATAATTCTATGATATCATGTGATAGAAATACTGACACTTGATTTCTCATATTACTTGATCCAGTCCCATGCCATCTTTCCCCTCAATGATGTTCTTGCAGACTGCTAATCCAATGTCTGACTTTTTATTCAAATCATGTTGGTTTTTTTTAAATGTCTGAATAACTTAGCAGTTTGAGATAAGGGAAAGAAGATTGTTTATGTACTTAAGATGAATTAATCATGTACTCAAAGGCATGCATACATAAAGCTGGCATTACTGAAGCAACGTTGCTTGTTGGAGAGGCAGTAGTTGATAGCATGTGCAAATGAAAGAGAATTACTCCATGTGGGCTGAGAAAATTGTATCACAATGGAAAGAAAAAAAAAAGAGATTTTGCAAAATGTAAAGCTAAGTGTGTTTTCCATGGAAAGTGTGGGTGTTAGTTCTTAATAAAAGATCTCAAACTATTACCTGATTCACATACTATGGAGCCTGGCTTCAGTTCTAACATCATGGTGATTACAGAGATGTCAGTGGAATACAGGATCTGTGTCCTGTGTGGAAGATTCACAGTCCACAGTTCTGGAGTTGGATGAAGAATAAAAACCCATCCTCCTTTACTGCAGGTCACTTTGGAGCCATACTTCTTGCCTATGAGATCCGTGGAATGCCGGATGACCCCATATTTAGTCTGAGTTACACCGCCTTGCTGGACTTTCACAGGAAACATGGATTCGTGGCCCAAGAACACAATAGCTGTGTCACCATCCTTGATTGTATCGCCATATTCAACAAAACTCATTGCAACAGTCTTGTGGTTGGCTGGTGGTCGTCTCCTAGAAGGGGACAAATACCAAGACAGTGTTATGGCATCTCAATGAGGCTATAAGTACAGGCAAGTTATTTTATTTCCTCCACCTCCCCCCCCACAAAAAAAAAAAAAGACATACAGTGCAAGTAAGACATTAGCAAGAGAACCTCATGAAGCTCAGGGACCTCCCCTCGACTCACTCCTCACCCACTTAAAATCAACAAAAAGATCTCACTGACTTGAATATAACTACTATTGTATGGTACATTTACAAGCAAAAATGAGCGAATCTGTTAGCATTTACTCAGCCTGCTCCCTGATGCTACTGGAAAACTTGCAAGGCAGTATTCATTTCAGCAATCTGTTTGGTTCCAGTTCACAAGCTCTCAGAATATGTTGTTAAGCAATGACTTTTATTTTCTTCTGCTGGCTTATCCCTTGTGATTTACAGCATGTGACAACTGTGACTTGCCTGGATCTCAATCACCAATTATTAGGACCACTAGCAAAAGTTTTCTTGAAAGTTTTCCAAATGAAGCTTTAGAGATAAGATAAAGGTAGTATCCACATTAATTTAGGTATAAATTTGACTAAGTACAAAGAAAATACACTGTGGCCTTTAATTTGCCATTGGGGGTATAAAGTGATTGTCTGGGAAGTGATCCATGCTGCAGCTGAATGTAAACAATCACTTGCCAGCTAGTGCAAACACACTGTATTGTTTTAGCCCCATGTTCTGAGAGCGACAATCTTAAATGCTGTTGTCTTGGAGAAGAAAACCTCGAAATGAGAAGGCAGCTTACAATAAAACCTGGCACGGCTTTTCAGATAAGGCAGCTAACAACCTAAGCTGCAGGCTGATCTATTCATGGAAAGAATTGTGTAATGAGGTGATCCCAAAGTTAGAGATTAAGGTCTATGACAGAAGGCTCTGGGAGTTTGATTCCTGGTAGCTGTACAAGAAAATTAAAAGCAGCATTACTTTTCACAGAAAAACAGAATCATGGAATTGTCTGACTTGCAAGAGACCCTTAAAGGCCATCCAGTCCAACCCCCCTGCACTGATCAGGGACACCCACAGCTCCATCAGGTGCTCAGAGCCCCGTCCAACCTGACCCTGGCTGTCTCTAAGGACAGGACATCCACCACCTCCCTGGGCAACCTGTTAATGATTTGATTCCAGTGCTTTCATATTGAACATGTCGAAGTTTTGTTCTACTTCTCTGTTTTTACTAAAAACAAAAACCTTTTAGTTCTGAAATTGTAGTCTGTTTTTCTTGACCAAAATTTGAGTTCAATCTGCTGTTCACCAACTAGATTTATAAATGTGCTGCTGCAGTGAGAATGAGAAGCAGACACGCTGGCAGGCCATGACTCCACAGCGTGTGGCATGCGGTGCTCAGAGAGCAAAGCACAACGGCATGTCTGGACACATGGCAAAGCAGCCCAGAAATGTACACACAGCGGACACTGTCAGACTGTAGTGATGAGGTTTTATAGCTTGCATCATCGGATTATATCGATGTTCTTAACTCTCCTGTAATAGACACTCTTTACGAGTTGTTGTTTTCCGCTTGTATTTAGAACAACATCATTCAGAAGCAGCACTGATTCCGTCTCATCTACACGTCTTCCTTCGAACCCAGCCCCGCACTCTGCCCCCCTCGCACGGGACCGGGCTGAGGTCCTCCCCTCTCCTACAGCGTCCCCAGCCAGACGCCCCGAGGGCCGCGCGCTGCGGAGCGCCAACAGAAGACAGCACGCGGAGGCTGCTCGGCCCGCAGCAGCGCCGCGCGGTAACCGCCGCGCTCGGCTCTACGCAGCGCCGCCGCCCCGCAGGGTCTCACCGCGGGCAGGGGGCTCGCGGTCCCCCAGCAGCGCCGGCTCTCCCCGTCCCCACAGCCGTTACCTCCCGCGGCCGAGTACCGCTAGCAGGCCCGGCACGGCTCTCCTCACACGCGGTGCCCGCCCCGCGCCTCCCCGAGCCGGTCGCAGGATGCTGACGACGCTCCGCCGCCTCCGCCCCCGCCGGCCCTGCCCGTAGCGGCCGGTCACCGCAGGCCGTACCCGGCTCGGCCGGCCCCGCTCCCGGCGCGGCTCCCTCGCCCTCCGCTGCCCGCCCCAGCCGCCGTCCCTCAGCCCGGCCGGGCGCAGAGCCCCGCGCACGGCGGCTCCTGCGTGGGGGGCGAGGGGCGTGCGGTCGGTCCCCGCCCGCGGTGAAACGAGGGGTCCCCGCCGGGAGGCTGGGCAGCCCTTCCGGCTTCTGCCCTCCGAGCGCCTCCGCGGGCGCTGCGAGCCCGGGCAGGACCTCGTGCTCGTCAAGTGTGGGCAACTGTCTTCCGCGTCCTACAGGGGGAAGCCCCTTCCCCGAGGAACCGCCGTGCCTTTGCCACCCAAGCCTCCGTGCAGGCGGCTTCCAGAACGTTCCGGCTATTCCCCCCCGCTGAGCCCGGGGAAAGGCAGCTCGAGGCCAACCGAGCTCCTCGTGCCGGTTTCTGGAGGCTGGAGGAGAAACCCACAGCGGAGTGTGGGCTCAGAAGGAGCGGAATCATTATCGAAACCCCAAATAGCACGGCTCTAACTCCCACTTGTGTCTCGTGTTTAGGATTGCAGTGATGTGGAGAGCCGGAGGTGCCCCGGTGGCGCGGGGATGGAGTCAGGAGATGCCCAGGAGGAGGATATCGCCTCATCTGCTGCTCCCAACAAGCCCAGGCCACCTGGCATGGGAGGGCGCGGGCACAGCAGCGTGTGAGTCACCTCGGACACGCAGGTAACGTTCTGTCTAAATCAGATAATCCTCTGCTGCTGCGTTCACCAGTGGCTTGAGATGCACAGGAGTGGAGAAAAAGTCATTCCTCCACAATCAAGAACGCCATCAGTGTGTGCTTAGCCGAGAGCTGTGTAGATGACCATTTGTGAGTCTTTTAATCAATGTCATTTCATCAACTGTGAGGGAAAATTTGCCCATTATCTTCAGTGAGAACATTTTTACGTTATGCTATTGACCCGCCCGTATCATAATTGCAGAAGTCTTTGTTATTTGGTTATGAAACTCTCCTCCATTTCATCTAAACATAATGTATGCAGTTTCAGAGGTTTCTTAAACTGCAGACTCCTACTCAGCTGTTTTTCTGACTGGCAATCACGGCTCTATTCTGCCTTTATATTTGCACCTACCTTGTTTTTTTTGTGTGCCATTTTTTCATGTCATTTGCCATAGTTTACATTCTCGTGTCCTTTCTTTCCCTTAAAAAACAGCTGCTCAGATCACTGTGAGCCAGACTGTATACAAGACCGAACAGCTCCTAGTCTTCAACCAGGAGTTGAAGTAATTTTCAACAGGACGCTCAGCCAATGTGAAAAGGGGTAATAACAAGGCAGATATACATAAAGCAATAAATGGGAAGAAAATATTTGGGAATTTAAGCAGATGCAGCTACAACCAGTTCATCTGTTGATGCATGAGTGTTATGTTTCATTTTCAAGTGCTGTTTAACCAGTAAGGCATTGGAAACAATGCAGTTATACGTAGTAAAATGTTTTCTTTTGCCATTTCCTGATTTGGAAATATCCTTCTAGATTTTCAGGATGTTTCCCCTGAATTCTTCAGGTTCATCTTGCTATCATGTGAGCAATTTCAGAAGACACATTCCCTAGCTAACACACATCTCCTTGCAGTTGTACACTGCACAACATTTATAATTAAGCCTCTTAGGAAGTGTTCACTGCACGGCCCATGATTAACTTCCCTTCATTCTTCATTGTTGAAGCTCAGCACGGAGATCTCTGGAGTAATCACTCCACCTTTCCAGCCTAAAATGCCAAACTGCATCATAGTTTACAAGTCAGTGTGCACTACAATATCGTCCCAGCATGGAAAGGACGTGTTGATGCCTTTATCACAGTCTAACAGGCAATACAGGCTGATCCAAGGAAAGTATTCTCTCAGCAGATGAGCTAGATAAAGCAGCTCATCAGAGGCTGTTGACACACAGCATGGCATCTATAATTAAGCCACTAGGGAAGAAGGGATGGGACGACGTAACAAAGGTAGGGTCCAGTTTGCACACAGCTTTCAGCAGATCCCAAAATGTGAGCTAAGTGTGTATTATAAATTTGTCAAATAACGGTGAGGAAAAGGGCGTAGAGGGTGCAGTGTTCTTTAAACATGTTTGCTAGGTATATTTTGATGGTGTCCCACCATGGCTCTGCTCTCTTTGTGTCTTCTTTCAGACAAAAGCTGTGTGAAGGAGAGGTGTCTGTGTTGGAAGTGTGATAATGAATGGCACATTGAGAACACAACCAGCTCATAATAACTGTAACGACTGGTGTTCCCTGTTCTGCAGGATGGGGAGGGAGAGTGTCTCCAGTGCATAGAAGTCAGTTCTTGAGGTAACCTTGATTCCACAAATCTATAGAACAAGTAAATAACAGTTGCTTCTTGTGTGCGTGGCAGTAGATTATGGAATGAGACAGACGGAGCCTTCAGTACCTCTTTAGTATGCTTTTTTTTTGGGTGAATAAAAACACCAGAAAATAAGCTTGCAAGGTTACAATATGTTCTTAGTATTATTTGTATTGTTCTACATTAAAAATAACTCTGATGAGTGTTTTACATTAAAAAAAAAAACCAACAACACACAACTAGAACTTGACAAAAAGAAGAAAAAGTGTTGTAACTCAGATCATCCATGAATACGACACGTATTTTGACAGCTCTGGGAATGATTTTGTGCTTACGTTCATTGAATACTTGCATAGGAAGGCTTTACCTGTAGCTGACACTGTCCTGAAGAATGAGCATTGCGTGGAACTAGTAAGATGTAGAGGAAGGTTTTGTGAGGTTAAAAAGGCAGAGGGGACTTAGAGAGGATTTGTTCTTTGATCCCGGAGATAAGAGACCAGACTCGCACAGATGCTGAGCCCGACTTCTGCAGCTCCGTGTGCTCTCACTCTACCTGGGATAACTGCGAAGCCTGGATGGCAGCCAAACAAATACAGTGCATTTTGATTTGAGGCAGTCTGTGCTTTTTTAGTTTTTAATGGTTTCCTGTGTATTTTTTTTTCCTGAAGCTGGACAGTTCTGTAAGCTGTATCGGTGTCACGGTGCTGAGGGCACTGGTTGTGGTGCTGGAAGAAGATTCCTCCATCTCTCTGACACAACTCTAACACAGCAGTGTGTTAAATACACTGTCCGTGCATGGGGATGAACGATGAGATAGATGCACTACAGAGAAAAATAAAGAAACTGTTACATGAAGGGCAGCTCCACATTGCCAATCACTTTACTGCTCCAAAATTGAACTCTGGGCTGCATTAGAGCTTTGGGACGAGCCCTGCACAGCAACTGTGCACTGCCTGAATGTGAGTTTAGGAGGGCCAGATGCCCTTCTGCTCGTGTCCCCCACAGGAAAATCAGCCTTTCTTCCATAAAATTAAGGTACTTTCTTTGCACACGATGAAAAGAGACCTTTGGTGCGTTACACAATAAACCTACATTCAAAACTGAGCAAGGGGGAAAGCAAAAAGCTGTGTGCACCCGCCTCAGTGCCTAACGGCGCCGCCATATTCAGGCTGCCGGTGGAACGGACGTACGCGCACGTCTGCGTTCACGAGGTCAGGACGCTCACCGCTCCAGGCCCGAGGCAGGCGGGCCGTGAGCCCAACGCCACCGGCCGCCCAACCGCCGCGCAAAATGGCGGCACGCCTTCACCGGCCAGGAGGAGCCGGTGGCTCCGCCCCCTCGCGGCTCGACCAATGGAATGAATGGGCTATAAATAGCAGCCAATGGGGCGGTGGGTCGCGCTCTATATAAAATGGGCGCGGCGGTTGACTCGGGGCTCCACTCCGGCTTGGGCAGCGGGTGGGTGCGGAGCGGGCGCTGAGGTCCTTACATTGGCTGCGGAGCCCTCGGTAAGTCCCGGGGCAGCCGAGCCGCCTGCAGCTTAAAGAAAAGAAGAAGGAAGCGATTTAACTTTTATGAGAAAAATGTATTTTTAATGGTGCGGGTTGGAGCCGGTCCGGCCGGGAAGGCGTCGGGGGGAGCGGGATGCGGCGGGGCGGTGCGGGACAGGTGCGTAGCGGGTGCGGCCGCAGCTTGAGCCGGAGCCCCGCTCTGAAAGCAGCTTACCCCGGTATTTAGCAGGGTAGTTACATACGCTCGCCCCAGCCACGTCCCCCGAGGGAGCCGTCCGTTGTGTAACGGCTCGGTGAGCGCTGCCCGCTCGCCCCGGTCCCCAGCTTGGCGCTGCCGGTACCGGCACCGGGCGCGGCGCTCCGCAACGGCCGCTCCGCCTCGCGCTGGGGCTGGGGCTGCCCCGCCGCCTTGGCCGCCACCCCGCGTCCCGGCCGAGCCTCGGAGCGTCCGGTCCGGGCTGCTGAAGGATGGGGCAAGGCTTGCGGAGCTGGAAAAAGTTTTTTCTTTTTTTTTAAATTTTTTTTTGCCTTTTCCTCCTTGCTTGGCCTGGAGGAAGGTGTTGTGGCAACGAAGGTGTGGAATGCGCGGGTGGAAGCGAAGCCAAGGTGACCTTGCTTGGTGCCTGGTGGCCTCCCCCGGGCCCCCGGTGATAGGCTTCCCTCTCTTCCCCCAGTGACTGCGGTAGGGACAGCCATGCCCTTCTCAAACAGCCACAACCTCCTGAAGATGAAGCACTCTGCTGACGATGAGTTCCCCGACCTGAGCGCGCACAACAATCACATGGCCAAGGTGCTGACCCTGGACCTGTACAAGAAGTTGAGGGACAGGCAGACTTCCAGTGGATTTACGCTGGATGATGTCATTCAGACCGGGGTTGACAACCCAGGTAACGGCTGCACCCTTAGGACTGCAGGGCGATCTGTTCCCCCTCCTTCCTGGAAGTGCTTCTTGACAGCAAACCCCGCACGCACCGAGGGGGGCTGTGCTGAGGAGGCCACGATTTGTCGAGCTGTGCTCCTCGCTGCAATCTGACACAGCAATTCCCAGGCGCTCCCATTATGTAACTGCTCTGCTAAATACTTCAAATCCGAACCAAAAAAAAAAAAAAAAAGCAAATGCTTAAATGTGTTCTAATTTTTATGCAACCGGGGGGAAGAAAAAATTCTCTGAGCTGTGTGGGCTTACCCGGCTGTTCTAAGCTCGTCCTATTCCAAAGTGGTTATGTGATGTTCTGTAGCACTTCTATGAAAACAAGGGGGAGCAGATGCATATATGTGTTAACATTACAGTATTTATCTTTACTCTAGCAATATCAAAATGGCCCAACTAAATAATCAGAGGCTGCCTCCCGATGAGGAGTACCCGGACCTGAGCACCCACAACAACCACATGGCCAAAGTGCTAACCCTGGATTTGTACAAGAAACTGAGAGACAGAGTCACGCCCAGTGGCTTCACCCTGGATGATGTCATTCAGACTGGGGTTGATAATCCTGGTAAAATGCGCTGAGATATTCTGTGGGAGCCAGCTGAAGTAACCGGTGCTTTTCAGTATGGTGACTTAAGCTAAGCTCGTGGAGGTGGTATTTATGAGCCGACTATGGAAATGCAGTTCTGTCTGTAGCAGAGTGAACAAAGCGATGCATGCTTGCTCACAGCAAAGCATGGTTGTTTTAAGTGTAGTTCTATCTCCGGGTTTGCATTAGCTAGTAAAATTGGATGTGCTGTGCAAAATTGCCCTAAACCAAAGCTTGACGGGAGTGTGGCTTAATGGCAACTGCTATGGTTTCCCATAGCACTGCATTTGACTAACTGGATGAAATGTAAAGTCTAAGGTCTCCCAACTGCTCTTAAGCGAGTGCATTTCTAAGTGACTAGATCTGCTGCAAAGAAACTTGCCTGGTTAGTGCTGTGCTGGAGTATGGCTGAGCATCACCCAACTTAGCTCTTCTGCCTTTGTTACCAATCCAGGCCACCCCTTCATAATGACAGTAGGATGCGTAGCTGGCGATGAAGAATCCTATGAAGTGTTTAAGGAACTCTTTGATCCGGTTATTGAGGACAGGCATGGTGGCTACAAACCAACTGATGAGCACAAGACCGACCTGAATGCTGATAACCTGCAGGTATAAATTTTTGTTCAGTTACTGATACCCACTGATCTGAGGCCTGGGGAAAGCTGTTAGCAGTAGCCTAAACGGATTGCACGTTCTGTCCTCTCTCACTGTGCACAGACTGACAGGCACTGTGCCCAGTGCAGTCTTACTCAAGAGCCTGCTGCAGTAGGTTGTCAGTAACTGGGTAGAACCAGGCAGCTGACAAGCAGGACTTGCTTCATGTGCTCTGCAATGTAAGTCATGCCAAACACGTTGAGCATGTATTTCTTTGGGCTGTGCTAGTTGTGTGAAACAACCCAGTTCCAGGACTGTTAGAAACCTTAACTCGTTCTACTGTATGATGATGTATGCTAAAAATCATCTAGTGGTTTCATGTTATAGAACAGCCATTGTTGTGGCTGGAAGTAGAGGCTTCTACCCATCTTACAGATTTCAAATGTTATTACAGTCTCTGGGAATTCCAGCTGCTATCTTGGTTGGCAGCCATAGGACATCTCAAAAATTAAAATGCTTTGACAATAATGAATAACTCTCATTTGCAAGAATAAACACCTACCTAAACAAGGATTTGTCATGTTAATATCTCTGAATTGCAAGTGAGAGGAGTAACAGAAGCTGAGATCTGAGTCTGAGATGGGTGTAAAACTGATGGTATTCCTGTTTTCTAGCACATACTTAGTAGCCCTAATCTTAACCTCAAAACAAGGAGTTTGTTACTCTCATACTTGTTGGAAAGCTGGAAGAAATGGTCCTGAAGTGCATCATATTACAGCACAACTAGTCAGTGTCAAATATAAGTGCACAGAACCTGTGTGTATTTAGGGTAAGCATCTTAGCAACAAGGCAGTACTGACTAATTTTCTGATCTTGTAGGGTGGTGACGACTTGGATCCTAATTACGTGCTGAGCTCTCGTGTGAGAACTGGCAGGAGCATCCGTGGATTCTGCCTTCCCCCTCATTGCAGCAGGGGAGAGAGACGGGCTATTGAAAAGCTCTCTGTTGAAGGTAAAGTGTTGAATCAGGCAATGAGGGGAAACTGACCTTGTCTAGGCAAAGAGGTGCTCTGTGCAGTTGGAGAATGGAGGCAGTTGGCAGAAGCTGCCTTCCTCAAGGCTTAACTTGAATGTGGAACCTTCCCTGAAAAAGGCAGCTTGGATTATGGTTGCATCGGTGTTGCAATATGTAGCTCAGAGCAGGAGCACACTCAGGGAAGTTGGACTGTATGAAGTTGACCTTTGCTGATCTTGAAAGTTTCTTTCTGTGTGTGGGGAAAGAGGTTGGTTCATCACCGCTCAAACCTGAGAAGTAATAGGTATGGAGCAACCCTAGGGCTTGAGTCATGGTTGCAGTATTTTGTGGCTTCTTTTAATTGACTTTCATTAACATTCAGCTTGCTTAGAGGTGTAGTCCAGCTCTGAGTGAGCTCTAGTTCTCAGTGGAACTCCTCAGCTGCAGTTCTTTCTGTTGCCTCCCACTTACTTTAAGCCAGAGGAAAGGATACTTTCTCAAGGTGCTATCCTGTCACTGTTCCAAAACTTCTCAAGGGCAGGGTAACAGTCCTTGATGAGAATGCTGCTTGTTGTGTTTGTGACCTTGATTCTCCTTGGGAGAAAGCACTTCACTACTACAGTTAAGCAGCAGTAACGATCCCATACTTTATGTAAGGGAACAAAGACTGCTTGTTTCTGCCTGGAAGGTGCACACAAATCATCTGATACAGCCCTAAGTTCTGTAATGCCACGCAAACTCATCGCTGTTACAGATGTGAAAGCAAGGGAGGAACCAACAAAAGCAGATAGTTTGAATGCAGTCTCTGAAGTTCTGGGAATGTTTGTAGTCTCTGCTCCCATACTAAAAGTGCCTCTCTTTCAGCTCTGGGCAGCCTGGGAGGTGATCTCAAGGGGAAGTACTATGCCCTGCGGAACATGACTGATGCAGAGCAGCAGCAGCTGATTGATGATCACTTCTTGTTTGACAAACCTGTTTCTCCTCTTCTGTTGGCATCTGGGATGGCACGAGATTGGCCTGATGCCAGGGGTATCTGGTGAGTATATGCCCAGAAGGGAGAGTTGCATGAAATCCCTGCAACAACAAAAAAAAATCTTGACATTTTTGTTGTGGCTGATATAGTTGGACAAAACAGCACGTTGTGAACTTATGCTGCTAATCTAATGAAGAACTTGTGTGTGGTATCCCCTGGGGAAGTGATATCTGAAAGCAGAACTTGCCCCAAGTGTTAGTGTGCATTGCATTGGGCTGGTAGGAACAAGCCAGCTTGGCTGGCCTATTGCCAGAGCCTGTCCATCCAGCACAGGTTTGCAAAGCACCAAGCAATAACTAGAGCAACTTAAGGAAGTAGATCACTTCTAAAAGAGTTAACGTTCTGCTATATTCAGCTCTTCTACCATGAGTTTAGAGTATCTAAGGTAACAAACCATGGCATGAACTTAATGGAGTCTTGATATCAGATGCGTAGCTGTTCCTTTGTAATCTCATTGCTTCTGCGTGCAGAAACTCACTGATGCCAGACTAATATGGTGTTACCTTATTAGTGGTGTTTTTCCCCCACCAGAGACTCAGTGGCATCAGTTGACTGATGCAGGGGGTAGAGGGTAGAAGGATTTTGCTTGTCACATGTAGGTCACCTACATAAAACAGCATCTCAGGAGCTTCTGCAGCATAATTAACTTG